CAACACAATATTCCTCTAAATTTGAAACTGCTACAATTGCATATAAATGAATGATTAATTTTCCCTAAAATGTACTTCACCTTAATAATATACAAAAACTTCTTTCACAAGACCAATCCTGCATGAATAAAGTTTGTTCCTCCATTTACCTTAAATGGTTAACACATTTGGTGTCTGGCCTCATACTTTCTTCCTCCTCCCTACGTGAATGAAAATTTTTGCAATAGGTATTGTAATGCTCAGAATCTTAGCCTGAACTTTCTCCTCAAACAAATCTCAATCGCTGAGTAAACGGCTTTCCACTAACACCGTCTTCTTGACAATTTAATATATTCTATGAATACATTGTAAACCATATACGATTTTTTGCTCTTCATAAACTTTTACGTCTCGAATAACTATTTCATATTGCTCCAATGATATTACTTCAAAGTCATTCTCGAGAATGCACGTAGCCATCAAAGATGACGTGCATCGCTCTTACGTCCCACTGTGGTAGACATTTATGCTTGGTCCAAAAACATTTATTTCAAAATATTGAACACCCAATTTTACCTCTTTAGAAAAATAACTTTGTAACCATTATTTTTCATTTCAGTTTAATTACTCCCTTATCATAAAATTTATCCCAACTCCTTTCAAGCTTTAGGATGACCCACAATTCAAGGTTCAATACGGAAATCGAATTTAGAAACCGAACTCACAATCAAAAAATAACAGGCAACTACACAAGTCAATTGATAATCCTGAGTTTCAAATACTGTAACGGTAAATCAATTCATATATTTAATTCGATTTCTGGTCTTCATAAAACTAGAACCAATGTTTTGTAAGAACCAAGCAATTCTTGTATATAGAAAACCCGTTAAAAAACATGTTTGCTAAAATAAAACTTCTCAAACTTATTTTTATCTTATCTTATAATTTTTTAAATATAAATTAAAGAATTTTATAAATTGGTTTTAGTTTTTCAATAGTACTATATATAAATTTATTATTTTATTCAAGTTCCACCAAATCTTAAAACACCAATTTTTAAAAAGCTTAAAATTAAATTTAAATTTCCGTGTTCCAAATATGGAACACATTCGAAATCCGCGGTGTTCCAAAACGTCTTAGAAACTGCTTAAAAGTTTCGGAATCTATATTTTTGCCTTATCTTATGATTAGAAACCCGGACAATGTTTTAAAACCTGAACAAATGGCTCGGGTCTTGAAAGTGCCGTTTGCTTATCTCAAAGATATTACTTCGATCATTAACTATCTATACAACATATAAAACTCAAGCTTCACCTACGTAATTTCCAAGGTGGCAAAAATCTAAAACATAATTGCTTAGTACTTGCATTAGCAATAAATCATCATATATAAAGTTAATTAACATGATAAACTAATCAAAGACATAATGGCTAAGATAAAAAAAAACATGATAAATTTTAAGAATTTTTATTAAATTGGTTTAGTGTTTTTCAATAGTACTATATATTATTATTATTATTTATTCAAGTTACAAATCTTTTAAAAAAAATTTTAAAAAGCTTAAAATAAATTATCTAATTTCGGTTCCAAATTGGAACAAATTCGAAATTGGCGGTTCCAAAACCGTCTTAGAAACTGCTTAAAAACGGTTCGATCTATATTTTGCCTTTCTTATGATTAGAACCGACAATTTTAAAATGAAAATGGGCGGTTCTGAAACTGTGGTCTTGCTTATCTCAAGTATCTCGATCATTAAACTATCATATACAACAATATAAAACTCAAGCTTCACCTCGTATTTTTCAAGGTGCAAAATCTAACATAATTGAGTATTGCATTAGCAAATAAAATCATCATATTATGTTTTAACATGAATAACTAATAAAGAACATATGGCTAGAAAAAAAAAACATGTATATAATACGCAAATATTAATATATCTAATTTCTAACGATTTACCTGTGACTTGTGTCAAGCATGAGTTTCTTGATAACTTTTTATACTCTTACATTGATTTTTCATAAATGCATTAGGATGAATGTCTCCCATCATAAAGACCCAAATACTAAACAACCATTTGAAGGACTTGGTATCCTCATATGATAAAAGGGCACATTAATAGAATGAACAAACTATGATGATTAATTCCAACAATACTTGAGCATGACATTCTATATCGGTTAACAAGATAAGCATTATCAAAGCACACAACAGTATGTAACTCTTTATAAGCGTCTATTCCGCATAAGTGAACCCAAACAACATTGCACAACTTATTATCATTGTCATATTTCATATCAAAAACTAATTGAAATCTTTAATTTGCATCTCATAAATAAGTTGCTGATTGCTTCAACATCCCTATGTTCCAGTCAAGACCTCCTTCTATTCTGAATATATTATGGGCATCTCTAGATAGGAAACCCAACTTATCTAGCCTATCGACTTGAACCTTAAGCAACTTTATTCTATTAGAAGACCTAATACCACAAATATCATTAGCTTGCAGTACTCTCTTCATACTCGGAGTAATTCTCTTATGAGAAGCAATAAATCTAGATATTTCTAAATCCATGTCATGGTTGCGTTGACACATATTTTGTCACCATCAGCATTCCATTCACTTGAATCGCAATATGCACTCTAGCTAGACAATTAACCCTTTCAGTTCTCACATTTTGACTTTCTTCTTTTGTCACAACAAATAACATTATACATATATTCACCATCTGCATCCCTTGTAGATGATCTTTTAGCAATACCAAAACTTTTGCATCTCTCATGCCTCAATTAAAATTTATATACCAATATTTATTGATTCAGAGACCGTCCCAACTCTCACCCATTCCTTGATATCAACAGAAAATGCAACTTCTTCTCCATTATATATTGTATTGACATTGTATCACCAATAGTATTCACATTAAGAATCATTTCATCTTCAATGCTTTCATTCCTCACAATGCCCACATAACTATCAAAATCAAAATTATCATCGTTAACACCAAATATTTTTTTCATGACAACATCGCAACTACTACCATTTATGCTTGCCATCACTAGAAGATTGAAGCTTCAGAAGTCAAATCACAAATTAACAATTACTTTCTCCATACGAAAATTCAAGTTACACTCTCTAAGTTGACATGCCTAAACCCATTTATAGTCGTTATAATTCATTAGTTCTTTTATACGAACTATTTACATTTCAAAGTATCTCATTTTATAATCATATTTGCTCATTTTATAGATCTAAGTTTTGGGGCACCAATTGCCCTAAACCAATGTCTACTCCATGATGGAATCATTGGGCATGCGCTTCCAACTTGCTTAATTGTCAAATCCATAAATCACTGCCTTGATTGATTTTCATTAACTTTAATCATTAGAGCTTCTAGTTTCCCATCTTTTATGTTAATTGCTATTTTCATTGACTAATTTTATAAGCTTTTTACATTTCTACCCCGTTAAAATTACTTTATCTGCAATATACTTCCTTTTGTTTTCACTCCAGATATATTAGCATCTCAGTTTTAAAATTATTTTTTCCTAATATCCTATAAATCTTAGGCTCTTTTTTATTTTATCCGGTACTTTTTTATCTTATTTACTCATCACGTCTCCTCTTCAAGTAAATGGATAACAAATTTGTATCAGATTTGGAATTCAATTATGATAAACAAATAATTAAAGTTCATATATGTAGACTTTGAAATGCAATGAATATGAAAAAAATATGAAAAATTATAATTTTATCCCTATAACGTATCAAAATTAACCGATGTATTCTTACATATTGAAAAATATATTAGCATATCCCTAACTTTTGTTTCCGTTAAAGTATTTGATTCTTCCGTCCATATTTTTATATTTTTCTATTAAATGCTTAAGAAAAAGACAAAAATACCCTTCACTAACAAACAAATAGTTGTTCCTTTTGGTTTAAATTAAATTCTCACTCCATATCTATGTATGTACAAAAGTTACCATTAACAAAAACAAACATATTTTGCAATATACAGATTAAAGGAAATAATCATTTCCTTTTACTTATTATTTTCTTGCCAATCCCTTCTTTCTTTTTGTTTTCTTTGCCTATACTGTATATTTTTTTTTCAATTTTTTTTACTTTTAATTTTGTTTTTTTTCCCTTTGCCGATGGATTCCTCTCTCCTAAAACCATTGCAATTCTCATCAATCAAATAAAATAAACAAACAAAAGGGACTAAGAATATTTTATTTTAGAAAAAATTAATAGAAAAAAAAAAGTAAAGAAAATCAAGAGCGAGAGATTGAGCTTCTTATCACTGCTCTTGTGGCTCAATTGCTGCACTTGTTGGGTTATTAGTCGTCTCACCAAGACACACCACAGTCCCTTAATGTAACCAATTATTAAAAAAAAAATCATATATTTATACTAATTTAAAAAAAATAAATAAATAAAGATGCTTATAAATCCAAATTTCCTTTAGGTTCACCTTTAATTACAAGATAAAGGGCATGAGAGATTATGCCTGCAATAATGAAACTCTCTATATGTGAAAAACTCCATTAATTTTTCACATAAAATCATCACAGCTTCTTTATAAGAAAAAGAGAAAGAAAGAGAGGAAGAAGAGAAAATAGATGATGATGATGATGATGATCTATCATGTGGGCAAGGAATTGATCGAGCTAGGTAGGTGGTGGGTGTGAAATTAATGGTGGTGAAGTGAGCTGATAAGGTGCCGTGGTTGTGAAAGAGGAAGATAAAGAGAAAAACAACCAGAAAAAAATATTTTTTATTTTTTAATGATATTTTAAGTATAAAATTTCTGTCTCTCACCTTTGACCTGGCTTCCGTAGTTTGATAAACGGTAAAAGCACAAAATATGAAAGAAAGGACCAAATAGTTCCGACGGAAACAAAAATTAAAAATATACCAATGTCTTTCAATATGCAAGGATATGTCAGGTAATGTCTTTTTCAATATGCAAGGATATGTCGGGTAATTTCGATATTTTATAGTGATAAAAATGTAATTTTTTCAAAAATATTGAATAGTGAATTTGCAAGCAGATCACTGGAGCAAAACTCTCTTTTTGTCTTCAAGTTTACAACAGGATCAAGATCACTGGACTTTTTTTCCACTGAAATATTCACAAATGCTTTAAAAGAAGATAAATTCATAAAAAAAGCATTCGAAGGAGAAAACGAAATGTTAATGGAAAATTAAAAATAAGTTTACGTGAATGTATAAAATCAAGATATTAGGGTCCCTACCATTTCCCCTTCAAAGTAAGCATAAACTCTGTGGTATTCTAGTCCTAGGAGCTTGTATCCATTTCTGCCGACGGGTCCCAACCTGGAGGCTTGATGTTCGGCCAATCACCGCGACATCCTAACCTAATATAAAGACTCTTCTTACCTTCAAAACAGACCAAATGAGACATCAGTAATAGCTGAACTAGTGCATTTTCCAAAACAAATATGCGACCAAAATAGCAGCATAACAAAAAAAAAAAAAAGGTTCACAGGCACTCTTCAGTCACATGCTCTATCACTTTCTTGGTTAGTTTATCAAGAAAATGCTAATAATAGAAGGATTTGGTAACAGCTACCAAGGAGAAATGGCTCACACGGAGATCACCAAATTTAATAATTTCGGTACATTGTTAGTAATTTTAATTAGAAGTAACAGTGGATAGTTATTCATTATATGATATCAAAGGTATCAAAAGTTCAGTACTCGGCTGTCTAAAACTGTACAAATATCATTCTTATTGTACTTGTCAGTCTCACACTCTTGAACGTTGATATGGTCAAAGAGAATACAAGGAGATGGCAAATATGGTGTAAAGTTTTATTATATGAATTATTTCAAATGCAATGTCCTTTTCAGTTTTGCAGCTAGTTTACATATAGGGTACTCTGAAATATTGATGGAATTTTGGATTCATGTTTCAAGTGAAAAACCATACAACATAATGTCAAATTCAAATCACAAGACCCTCATCTATCCAATTAGACCGTGGAGTAGTTGGCTAGAGATTGTTTAAAATGTTCATTTTGACCACCTTTTTAACAATTATTTTGAAGACTACAAAAAGATAGGCTCAATCATTTTCTAGAACTAAAAGCAAGTAGAATGGGCTCAACCATATTCTAGGACTAAAAGCAAGTAAACTTTCATGATAAGATGGAAAAATACCTGGAAGTTCCTTGTCTGACAGAATTAATTGTTTGAGTGCACTCAGTGATGCCTGAGCTACACTTTTTGCATGATCTGCATCCCAACCTTGGACCTTGACAACCACATCAGCATTTGTGTATGCTAGGCTACCATCTTGAATATGCTTTCTCACCTCTGCCTTTGCTAAATCCTCACCTGCCCTAATATTATTAGAACTAAAGCAGCCCATTCAAATTTAATTTGATAGTCAAAGACATGTTGCAAACCAAGCCAATGTAATTCTTCTATCTCAAACACAAATACAATCCAATTGAAATGGGTAACACAATTATGAGTATATACACATCAAATCAGCTGATTCACATTTTAGGTGAAAGAAAATTAAATATTACTTGAGGGCAATTAGAAAATATGGCTTATAGAATGAACGACTGAACCGAACTGACTGTCTGGTTCCGTAGGCTTACTAACAAGTTTGGTTCTTGGTTTACTTCGGTTCATACCGAAGTTTCAAGGTAGTTCAGCTCAGTTCTTTATAATCCAATCGGTTAGATTAAAACCAAAACTGATCCTATAAAAAACTTAAGAAATAGACCAAACCTGTTCGGTTCAATTTGGTTCTCACAGTAACTTTGTTTTGATCCTGGAAGTTCGGCTTGCCCTTCTAAATCTAAATCACCGTTTGCTCACCCCTACCTAGGAAATCATGTCCTTCCAAGATTTTGCATAAAAGAAGGTACCACTTCTCTTTTTTATATATGAGACAACTCCTCTTCCCCTACCAATATGGGATAACGTTCACCTTCTTATTAAGTATGGTAATAACGGGCTGGCTTAACACAATAATTTGCATGTCACAATCAGGTTGACAAAACAATGACAAATACAACAAACAAAACCATGCCTGCTTGCTTTGTATTAGTGCTGGAGACATTGAAGTTGAAAGTTCAAAGACAAACTGATAGGGAGCTTGGTTTATAGGGGGACTAGGGAAGACACTAACAAAGCTTCAAAATTCTTTTTCTTTCCTTTTTACAAATTTCTAGGATACAATCTCAGGTTTTAAAATCTAGTAACAACAGGCCAAAAAACAAAAATCCTATCTTTTGTGCATTTTTTTAGATGCAGTCAATTCTCTTGACTTTATAATTCTATACCCGCTACCTTTGACAATGGCAACAATTACAGCCAATTGCCTAGATTCAGCAAAATAGCAATTTTTACTGCCTATTCAAATCAATGTCAAAAGTTGATAAATTTAAAAGAATGATTTAACAATTTCAAAAGTTGCAAGCAGCATTAATATCCTTAAAAGGATAGGTCAAACTTGAAAAATGACACAAAGCTTGTAACTTTTTGTTCCCATGATTTACCCACTAATTTAACTGTTAGACAACCATGGTTAATCAATAATGAGCACATGCCATGAGACAATCTAGAAAAGGGAAATCAGCTAAGTGGATCAATCACACTACTGATCTCCTTGCAGTTAAAATTTGCAACCGCCATTGGGCCAACAGCCACTGATTGAATTGCATACTTGACACTAATGCAATGTTCAAAAACTCCCATAATCTTTGCCCTTGAAATAAATAAATAAATAGAACAATAAACTATCATCTATAGTATAAATCTTAATTACCTAGGGATCCTTATACACTTGCTTCTCTTATCCAGATCTGTTAGTTAATTTGTCAATTGCAGATGCCATTTACTACTCTTCCAAATATTGCTGATGATATGAGCATATATATATTCATCATTATTTCGAGTTACATGAACAATAAGACTCTTGTTGCATACTGGGGAGGAGCAGTTTCCACCACCAATGACCCAGAAATCTAGTTATGGGGCTAATTACAAATGTTGAATAGAAGTTGATTCTTTTGCATTTCGATCCAATATGATTATAAATGGATATTTATAAATGGATTTAAGACGGGTACAGGTTCAAAATAACTAGATGTTTTAGATTCAGGTAGAATACAAATTTAATAAATTAGATACCCATATCTGAACCTGTTTATATAAAAAAATAATTAAATATAAAATAAATAATCTGTAGTATTATTAATTAAATTATAAAATATTTTATTAAATAAACTTAAATATTTTTATAAGATAATTAATTTTATAATAATATAAATTATTTATTTAAATTATAAAAAAATAAATTTAGTAAATTACTAATTCAGTATAGCAAAACTAAATGGGTTTGGTTAGAGTCCAGGTAATGCATGAAATAGATATGGGTAATAAGGGGTGAATTTTAAATGGTTTTGAGATGGGTCCATGTAGTGGAATTATTAACGGATTCAAGTATTAGTAGGACATTTCTTGTGCACACCCTATCAATTGCATTCTTAGTGAAATAATTGATGGGGAGTACCTGCCCATTTCCACATTGAGCGAAAGGTATGAAATAAATCAGATTGATTTTACAGTCCAGGACATTTCTTGTGGGTATCCTATTTGTTGCTATTCCCAGTGGTGTATCCAGTTCCATGCCATAGATTTGTGTGGATGACTATCGGTGGTGGTACCATACAATTTGCAACCTTTAAACAAGTGCATATGCTGCGACAAATGCCAATAAGAGTCCCCCCTCCCCCAACCCCCCCAAAAAAATGTAGCAGTAAAAGCCAAGGTTAAGCACAAGTTACCCATAGCTTCAGTCTGTGACAGCCATACAGTAAATCCTGCATAAAGATGTTGCCATATATCAGCCCTTCCAGCAGCTCCTAGTTTCCCTCCTAATGTTGAAACAACAGCTCGAACATGACTGGACGACCAACCAAACCAAGGATAACTTTATGTTTACCTAATAGCCAACATATCTAGAAAAACAAAAGCGAACTTACATACCTACTCAGACCTTCCAGTATCGCACTTTCTGCATCAGCTACATCATCAGAACCTTCAGCAAGAACCCCTGGAATTGATTACACTTGTTAATGCACCACTGCAAGAGTGGTGATATAAGTCATTTCAAGCAGTCAATGAGAAGCTGCCATCTAGTGGCCTTGGATTATATTAAAAAATAAATAGCATAAGGAACAATGCAACATAATATTATTTTGGATTGAAAAAATAGAACATTGGCTTAAGGAAAAATTCTCTAAAAGAAAATTTCAAATTATAAATTAATGGTTAGTCTGTGCTATTTTCATTATTTAAATGCCTGAATAGATGGGAGCTTTTAGTTAGTTGGATTCGAACAGAAGTAATTTTTCTTGCTTGGTTCAGAAAAAAGACTTCATTAAAACAACTAAAGCAGCACTTTTCAACAATTTACTAATCTTCCTTATTGGCTGTATCAAATTGAATGCCTTAAAAAACTATAGAAAAGAAGCCAACTGGCAAGACAAGGTAAAAAATAATACCATACTGCGCATGTGCAAATGCATATGCATATTTGTGTACATATGTGCACTTATGCTACATGCTTGAGAGGCAGAACCTTGTTTACAATTAATCAGTGCACAATGGAGGAAATTATTCTCACATGAATCAATTGTTTGCTTGGCAAATGTTTCCAGCAACTCTTGTGTATCAAGGGGTGTATACCTGAAAATTATCCAAACCCTTTAAATCTAAGGAACGCATAAAAATTCCAAGAATTTTACAACCATTTTAAATGTATGAGAGCCCATTATGTTAATTACAGAATGGCAACCAGTCATGCTACAATTACATAACCCCAACATACAAGTCAGTAATACACAAATAGAAAAGGAAACAACAGTAGCAGAAAATAGTCCTTGGAGATGATTTAGAAACTCTAGAAGCTGGATTCAGATTTGAGTTGAATCACCAAAGACAGCTGGATACAATACTCTGTTTATATAAAGCACATTGAACTTAACTACTGATATCAACTTCCACAAACATGGTAAGTGTGACATAGTAAAAAGGAATTGTAAGAAAAAAAAACTCTGCAAGCCATGCAAGAAACAAACATATGGAAACCAAGGTGGAGCAAGTTGAATTTTTTATAATCCACTAGTCAAAAGAGTACAAGTTCCAGACCCAAAGGAAGACAAATTAATACCCAAGACCGACTGCAAGTTCTCGAGCTACTTTTTGGTTTATTTCAGTTGAATCACCAACAATGTAGATTGATGTCCCTTTTAGAAGCTGCATAGCTCCTGCTGTCAATGATTCCCATGACTCCACAATGTCAGGCCATTTCAAATCTGGATCTTGCTTTTTCAAGTTAACAACAAGCTGATCGTCATCTATATACCTGTTTGAAACAGAAGAAGTCTTATATCAAAAGTTTAGAGAAAACTCAAAATAGAAAATAGAATCCTTATGTGCATTAAGAATCACACACCAGATAGTTTCAGAAGGCTTTATTTTGTGAAATAGATGATTAGTTTCTATAAGTGTGGTTTGAAAGCCCGAGCTTCGTACTCTAACAATTAAGGAGGTGCCATCTGCATCCACAAATATATCTTTGGAACTCTTAAAAACTTGGCTCCCAAGTGGTATTCTCAATTCCACCTCTGAAGATCCATCAGAAAACTGCATAACATTTACAATTCAAACGCTAAAAGAATCAAAACTCAAAATAAAAAATTAAAGCATTAAACCGAATTCAAGAAGCCAAATATGGAACAAGAAAATACTTGGTGAATCTACAGCATAGCAGATAGAATTCAAGATAATAGCTTTGATTCTCTGGTTTGAAAGAATTAAAAAAATTTCAAATACTTTCTTGGAAACCAAACAGAGGGTTAGAATAAACAAGTACCTCGTAATTGGTGGTGGTGGCAGTGGAAATGGCCCTGCAGGAGAGGCGACGGAATCTCTTGGAGGAGGGACTCATTTTCCATGATTTAAAACTGGGAATTGAGATAGAGAAATAAGTAATTGAAGTGAATGTAGGTTTAGAACTTGAAAGTGAAACGCAGAGATTTTGGAGAGAGCATTGACAAGTTTTGACGGTGTTTTTGGAGTTAGAGAAAAATTTGGTGACAGCAGCAGTCGTAGTGGTAGCCATTTTCTTCGTTACTGGAAGACGGAGATATATTTTTTAAATTTTTTTATTTTCATAATATACTACTAATATAATGGATATCTTTTCGCTTTTTTTTTTTTTATTTAACGGATATTATCCTTGCAATGCAACTTTGGAAGAGAGCAGCCAAACAGATACTACACCAGTTGTGTCCGCGCTTCACGTGGAGGTATTTATAGGTTCTTCGAATAATTGTTATTATATTATTTCAAAAAGTATCATTATTAAAGTAAATTGTTATCTTGAAATATAAAAATAATTAAAAGTATTTTAGGTAAATATTAGAAAATTAATAATAATAATAATAATAATAATAACATCTTATTTTTTTTTATAAATTACTAATTATTTACGATTTATAAAAATATAAATATACACATTTAAAGATGTTCTTTTTTAAAAAATTCTTACTAATTATAATCATTTAATATTGTTAAATCTATATGATAAATTGCAATACAAAGTTACAGATTAAAAACAATACAAAAAAACTAACTAAAGTTAGAGCATCAACAAAATAAGTTACTCCTTAATATTTTGGTAGAACTTATTATTACAGTGTTTTTAATATAGCTTTTATTATGATTTTTATGGTTTTTCATTATTTTATTTAATTTTTATTTAGATTTATTTATATTTTAAACAAAATTTTCTTGATCTCTACTAAGCTTCATTCTAAAGGTTTTTATAGGTTTTTAGTAGGAAATTAGTCAATATTCGTATGAAAGAAGGTTGGAGCTGAAAATGGAAGAAAAAAAAAAGTAAAAATGGGCTAAGTCAATAAAGTACACGGCCTGGCCAGGCCATATTCCAACGATATTGAATTTGTATCTTGGGCTGAAATTCTATGCTGAGACCGTATTAGGAGTCAATGCTGGACTTGTTTGTATGTGGATTTGCATGGAACAAGTATGGGGCCTTCCTTAATTGGTTTCTAATCTTATTTAGTCCATTGGGATCCTAATTGAGAAGAAATACAAGATTAAATCATTTTTTGATTACAATAATATTTCTTGCTCGATGAGTTAGCTGATTTTCCCATAAGACATCCTACGAAGTCTATTTAAAGAGATCTCTATAACAATAGGGGATCTATTATTCATTATGTATATATCTTGGATCTTAAATCTTTTGTTCTACTCTCTTCATAGTTTTCTTTCTTTTAAGACTTCAAGTATTTAAGTTTGTGTAAAGATTCAAGAAAATTGTTAACTCTATTCGTTTACTAGTTCTTACCTCTAAACTCTTTATCTTGTTTTATTTTTCAATATTCATGTTGATTATAGAATTATTTACAAGTTTAATTGAGTTTATTTTAATTACTATGTCGAACTAAATTTATATTAGGGATTTGATGTAATTTAATTTGAACTCCAATTTATCATATTTGATTTATTTTTCCTTGTTCATGGTGTAATTTATTATTGAACTTAATATTTTCAGACAGAATTTCTCTTTTAAATTGGTTTATTCCATTAATTATTATCGGAAGAAGGATTTTTGATACGACAAAGATAATAGATTATATAAGAGTAATAACTTGCGAAAGTTATATGGTTTTACTTATTGGGTTTTTATAAGACAACGATCTTAAGTTATGAATTCATAAATAACTATAAAACTTAATAATTTAATTCATATTTGATTGTGCTATTCAAAGATAGATAATTAGATCAAATTAAAATAGCTAATAATACATCGAGAGAGCTTATTAAGGACTTTAGGGGTGTTTCTCCTTTTTAAGTAATTAAAATTGATTATCAAACTAATAGAAACTTAGATAGATAGATGAAAATCAAAAATTCCCTAATAACTTTTAATCCTTTGATTTCTTTTCATTTTTAATCCTTGATTTCTTTTCATCAAATTATCTTGATTGATTTCTTTTTAATATTATCTTTTATTTCTTTTAATTTAAATTCTTAGAATTATTTTCGTTATTGTCGTGTAAATAATAGTAAGTTAACACAATTTTGATACTTGTATGCACTTCTTGTGGGACGATATTTTCCTTACTCTTTATTACTTCTAGCGATTTCGTGCACTTGCAAATTTGCCTGTCAATGACCGAATATAATAGTTTTTTATGTAAAAACTATTATATCTAAACAATATGCAACAAAAGAATTGAAAGTAAACTAACAAACCAATTTAAATCCATTAAACAGGTCGAGGAAATTTTGAAAAGAAGTTGTTCATTAGACAATAAAATCAAAAATATCATAATAAATTTTACTATATGTACATAATATTTCATTTCGCCCTTTGACTTGTATATATTATGGAGCAAAAACATAAGTTTCTTCAGCGATTCCAATTGTGTTGGTACACCACCGGGCAGTCAACTTATTGCAACACAGCTGCAAAACTCCAAACAAAAGCTCCATATATGGTATTCAGTTTTCCCATTTGGCTATGATTAAAATTGCTATGTGGTGGGGTTCAAATGCTGGCGATCCCCCTTGCCTTAAAGAATTTCCAACATACCCAAACACAAGCAACCAAAATTGACGGCAATATTATCTAGTCATGGTTTGTAAGGGCAAGAGAGAGTGAGAATGGACAAAAAGTAAGAAAGAAAGCATAGAGAGGAATCGAGAATAGTTAGTTGGAGGCAAGAGATTGATGTTTTTAAAATCTTAATCTTTAATATGTCATACCTCATCCATGTGCTATTCCGGTCACTAGATTCCATTCTTTTTTTTTTTTTCTACTAAAACAAAGTTGGATAATTTAATTTTAAATTACAAATTGAAATTTAGGCACGATAAAGTAAAATTAACCCATATACAATCACAAATATTAAAAAAGCAACAGATTTACAACTATATCAAAAACCCAACATTTACATCGCCCATTTCTTTTTCTTTTCTCTTGGCTCTTATTAAAAATTCTTTTTTTTTTTTTTTTTTTTTTTTTTTTTCTTTTTTTTTTTTTTTTTTTTTTTTTTATTGAACTACATTGGAAATTCGACTGGATGCATTTTAAATTTTATTGGCCATTGTACCAGCAATGAAGTGCTGGAGGTTTAGATCATACCAGCCGCTGCCCCCATGGCTCACATCTGCATCTTTTTTTTTTTTTTTTTTTTTTTTTTTTGAACTACATTGAAAATTCGACTGAGATGCATTTAAATTTATTGGCCATTGTACCAGCAATGAAGTGCTGGAGGTTTAGATCATACCAGCCGCTGCCCCCATGCTCACATCTGCATCTAAATCTAATTTTCAGCAGGCTGCGGAATGTTTCCACTGGACATAGATGAAATGCCTTGTTCAATGCACTGCATAATGAAAGCAAAGGAGAGTGCTTATAAAAATAGAAATCGCATAAGATGAAACAAAATGAAAATCCGCCTTTGCTATGATAGCAAACATGTTTAGAGGCATTCGAATGACATATTTATTTAATCTTCGTAAATATTTAAAATAAAAGAAAAATGCTTCCTAAGATGAGAAAGTCAGTGAGTTAACCCACTTTTTGGCAGATAGTTCAGCCCTAGTAGATGATGTTTTGAAAACAAAAAGAAAGAATTAAATTGACTAAAGATGCACTTGACAATCGCATGAAGTCATACTTGGGAAAAATATTTTAAAATTTTAGTAGATGACAGAGGAGAGATAAAAGAGAAAGAACAATATTTTAGAGAAAGATTACCTGCAATATATGTCCATGCAGCCAATCAAGCGTTTGAGTGAATGTTGTTGCTGATATATTGGCAACAGTCAGACCCTGTTCCAAGATAACAAGATGATTGTACAAGTGGAATAAATAAAATGTTAAACTAATTAAATAATTGCACAAGGGAAAAATCAAAAAAGTACCTTTACTTCTTTCAAACAACTAATTAAAGAGTTAGCAAATTTGGATCACACTGCACTGCCATGATACAAGTACTACTAGCTACAATTATAATATTTGGATGTAGGGATAACATGCACTAAGAAAGGCAGCAAATACAACTGTATAATTCATTGTGATTGAACTTATGAGCCTTCTTTACAACACAGCTTATTTTGACCCAATTTAGGTAATCATGGATTTGAACTGTACATCGTCAACTGGGAAAGCCAACAATATATCCATGTAACAAATGCATAAGCCTTAAATTTATATCATCCATTTCAAATGCTAGGAGCCAAAATCAAAGGCTTATGTTAGCAAGCAAACATGCTAAGCATGACTTTTATTTCTTTCTGAACCATTTTCTTTTCTTTCACTAATTTTAGTATGTGTGCAATGTTTCAAAAATGATATTGTTAAAGAAAGTTCATAAGGTGGTTTTGCAAAATATTGCAACTGATTCTTCAATTTTTAAGCCATAAATTAGCAAGATTTTGAATTTATAATCCATTCAATATAATCACTGTATAAAACAAACCTGATAAAACTAGTTCTGTGTTCATTGAAGTCCCTTGTTATAAACATATATTCTTCAGCTAAATGAATATCCGTTGGAGGTTTGGAATTTATCATTGTAAATTGGCTAAAGAAGGGGGATGTAATTTTGATTTCATGTTATTTAGTAGGAGAATCGAACATTAATAAGCAAACCTGTGACTTGAAAGAGCAAAGATAGTTCCGAATGGTTTTGAGATTGGTAATTATTCTATCTTTATCCTGAAAGGAAAAATAACAGATAATCAACAGCAAATTATTTATAAGAAATAGAACAAGATAAGATTTATGTATCAGAGTTTTCATTAGCAAACAATCAAGTCATGGATGTAGTGGGAAATAATAAAATCAAGAAGGGAATTTTGTGCCTAATGCAGCAAATGCAGCACACATGCACAGTCTATTGCCTTCTTTCAATTCTTGTACTTCTTTTAATTCTTCACTTCCTTTCTTTTAGCAATTACTATTTAACAGTTCATTAACCATACAGACTGATGAAAACATTAGAAAAGAGTGAAGTAATGCTCAACTTCACATAAACAAATTACAATAAAATCTTAGTAGTCTTCCATACCTGGACTGCCACTGGGCTTTTATCACTGTATGTATGAGTCACAATCCACTCTTCAAGTAATGCCTGCACATGAAAGGAAAAGATTGAGAAAAAAACAGATTAATATGAAAATTTCAACACATGAATAATGAGGGGCAACATAATTCTGATAAAGGAATTACTACCTTGCATTTGCATCAACACTGTCACAGGATCTCAAGAAATTTTAGACTGACGAGAATAGAAGTACAAACCTTATGATCGAATTTGGCCATCTTCAGAACTATGGGTATAATTATTGGTTCAGGACCCAAATTTTCTTTCCTAATAGAAGCGTCCCTCTCTGTCTCAGTATCTCTAACAGTTTTACCTGCATGACCCAGATAGCAGTTATAAGAACTGTCAAAAAAGTTGCACCCTGTGTTTTCACTCAACATTGGTATGACAGACACCTGTACTCAGAAAAGACTGAAAGAATTGTTGACTTATTGCCAAAACCAGGGGCAACAGTAAACTTTATTATAAAAACCTACCTCCTGCAGTTTTAACATATTCCTGAGAAACTGGATCCTTATTCCACTGGTCACCACATTTCCCTTCTTCCAAATTCACATTCCCAGGAGTAGATTTTCTATTTTCAGTGTGGCTTTCACCAGCATTAGTAGGATTATCTTCCATCTTTGTTGCGGGATCATCATCTGTGGAGGATACAGGACTTGATTCCTTACTTTTTTCTGGTATATTAGCTGATGACTTATGTTCTTCATCCATTAAATAAATGTTTGGGTCCAAATGTAAACCCTGCCATTATTGTTTGAAATAACTAGATGATTCAAATGTGTTGCGGAAACAATAACATGCTCGTCATGTTCTTACCAAGAATAGTATAAAGACAATCAAGTATAATAGACAACATATTATTCCAATGCTCGTAACATGCCAAAAGCAGATGCAGTGACATTGTGCATATAGACAATACCAAACATATGATTAACTATTCTTGGTTTGATATGCAATATGGTGATTCTTTTTGGTTGTAATAAAATATTTCTTGAAATACCATGTTTATGTTAGCATTATCAAGTGTCTTTTAATAAGTATTGCAGCTTTTGGGTATAATAACACAATTGCACCAGATTCTAACAGAAAATTCCCTTCTTACATCTTCCAACCATTTGTAGCATACTAAACCCCTAACAGTTTCGGAATTTTTCGGCATAAGATCATTAATTTGTCATTGAACAATTACTAGATATGCTAAGTTTCAGAATGTGAAAATTTTAAAGTAATATCACAATGACTTCTCAAATTGTCGTCCAAGCTCATCTATTTGCACCCTGTACTATGACAGAAAATGCCATGAAAGGGCCTGATGCATGTGTCTGTACTTCCTATTCCACATCATGCATATCATCAATATGATCCAGACATAAAATGAATAAACACCTCTTTCTCTCTCTCATGCATATCTGCAAGCAAGTGGAAAGATGTTAGGTACAGCATACAATTTACTGTATACTTTAACAGAAAAATCAGTCACACCTCTATTATGACTGGCTTTCCATCTTTCATTGCTTTCTTCAAATCACCAGCCAAACCTATGTAGCAAACATTACATTAACATGTCAAACATCAATAACTTGCAAAGCACGCTAATAACAATGACTATTACAAGCTGAAAAAAATCTGACATGCTGTGAGATAATCATATCTGTAGGGAGCATACAATGTTTGAAACGAAAATAAAATAAAATAAGAAATAAATATCTGCAAATGAGAAGGCAAATTTCAAAGCTATAATAATAACCCAGCAGACTCACCTTTACGAACAATTCTGCATTCTCTAAAAAATTCACTAATTAGCTCCTCAGAAGAGCTGAAATCTCGTGCCCAAACAGGAGTAGAGGTCAATGGTGCACTATAAGAAATAAGAAGAAAATAAACATTACAATGCAATCCTTCCAAACAAAAAGCTAAGCCTTACCTAATGTGAATAATCATTTTAAGAATAGGATATGCATCACAACATTTCAGAGATATTGGTAATAAGCAACAAAATGATTACTAAAGACAGTACTATAGTGTCAGCTAATATAGTCCTTTGTATTTCTTTAGTCATGGTTCTTTTTTATGAACAGAATCCTTTGTTAAAAAAACATCTCCATTGATTCATTTCTTCGGTCACTATTTTGACATTGAACTTGTACTCTAAGTGCTTCAGACAGTTAGCTTCTGGTACTGGACATAAAAATCCATAGAATTAGCTAAAAGAAAGACAATTGTTGGTCCATGACATACTCAGTTGATGTCCGTAGCAATTCATACACCATATCTGTCTGTAACAATAGAAAACTGTGTCAAAGGCATCAATGTGCAACCCCAAATGGATTAGTCAATCAAACATTGTAAGTTATTCAGGTCAAGGTGTAAGGATTACCTGTAAGACATTAGGCAAATTCAGCCTTTGTGCAAGTTGGGCAGCAATGGTAGATTTCCCAACACAAGCAGTTCCGCAAACAAGAATTACCAAAGGCACTCTCTGATGGTGAAATCTAAAAGGAGATGATGAGGGAAACAAATTACTTTTCAAAAATCGAATGAGCAACAGCAATTTTAATATTAACTTTTCTAGAAAAATCACAATAAGGAATGAGCTACTTCTGAGCAGCCAATTATCAACAAACTAACAAACTGATAACCCAGATGAATGCGCCAGCTGCTTCTATGGAAAACAAAAAAAAACAAAAAACAAAAAATCTGAGAAAGAAATGTTCTTCCAAAAAGCTTGTTCACCTTGTCATCATCTTGTAACGTCTAATGTACTCTTCTCCATATCCCTGTCGCTCCATATGCTGCTTCACATAGAATCTTATAAAAAGTATTTATGAAAAAAATCCAATTTTCTGAAAGGTACATTTTGTGATATAGTGGAACCATAACAACTATAACCAGAAAATGGAAAATAACTCAAATTCTTCCCATAACAACTATAACTTTGATATAACCAATTGAGAATTTTGATATTCAGGAATAAAAGGAAACAGTAATACCTTAAATAGGTTAGCTTCAAGATCAGACTGAGAGCTGCAAAAGTAATATGAGAAATTAATTGTTATCTGATAATCCTAAATAAATAAACAAAATTATTCTTAAAATAAATCAAGAAAAATGCCATACACATCTAGAAGGCTGTTATCTATAAGTAGCTTCTTGAGTTCAAGAGCAATTCTAATAGCTGCATGATTTGGTATCTGAAATCATTCAAGTCATAATTCTCAAAGGAAAAGAAAAATAACAAAAATAACAATTATTAGGAGAACTGTGATTGAGACCTTAGTGACAGTTAACATTCTGCTCAGCAAAAATCTGGAGAAAACGTAATAATGATCAGCGTGATCGCCAAGCCACACCTTTACCTGAAAATTAAAATATTAATTAACAGATTATACAGAATCAGTTTCTGTTTGGTTCCCGGCAAATGTAAATGTAAAAGAGTAACCTTGACATAGTCGTATTTAGAGGAAGCATTGCGGGAAGCGAAATTATCCGCAGGGAAAGAAGGATTGTTGGAGTGATCAGAATCTTCTTTAGCGGTGTCAGAGTTATGAGTTAGAGCTGTAAGGGTTGAAGTTGATGCTGCCATTTCAATTCTTCCCTCTTTTCTCTTTTTTTTGTTGATTGTTTATATAAAGATTTCTGTTTTCTTTTTTTATTATGTTAAATAAGATAGTGCTTAGAGTTTCAGATTCTTCTCAGGACAGTTAAAAAAATATTATTATTATATTTTAAATAATATAAAAGGTCAAAATTATTTATTAAATTAACAATTCATATATGGCGTGAAATTTAAGTTGTTTGTCTTACGACACTATTAAATTTACGGAGACATATCACGACCATATATTTTCACATCATTTGATCAAAATGAAATAATTTGCACTTTTACACATTATTTGGTGAGGTATATAATTATTACTTAAATGTAAAAATATAGTATTATAATAAATCCCTCACAAACTCAAAAGCGATACAAAGTAAATGCATAACTTCAGAGAGACAAGTGTCATTTGGTCATGTATCAATCCATTTTATTCTAACAATTATCTGTTTTTTCTTTTTTTACTTGTCTAAATCATATTACTATTTTTTAAAATAAAAATATTTTAGATTTTTTTTATTCTTTTCGATTCGATTTAATGTGCATCGCTATCAATAAATATATTATTATTATTATTTATTGATAACATTTAAATAAATTTTTTTTTTTTATACTTACATGCAGGTGTTTAGACTCATGTCCGTTCTAACGAGTCCATGATAAACCTAATTAATCTTTACTCAATCTTGGAAATCGAACTCATAACTTAAATTATGGTAATCAACCCTGGAAGAATAAAAATTATTATTGTCGCTGCCTATTTTTATAAATTTCACAACTTTAATAGCTTTTATTTCTGCATCAAAAGATTATATTTTTATTAGTTTTAATACTAATTCGATATAAGTTATTTAATGTTAATAGAATAAAATTAATTCTTTAATACTAGTGTAAATATATTTTAAAAATTAAGTACAAATTATGTTTTAGTTATATTAACTATATTCTTTTAATATGAGTGAAAAATAAATTATAATTATTTTATGGAACAATTTTTTTTAAATAGCAATTAATCATTGGTTTATTCAATTACTAGGTACATATATAGCAATAGATAAGTATTTCTTTAAAATAATATTATGGGTCTAGGAATAAGAAAAAAAAGCCAAAATACATAAATTTACTTACCAAATCTGTTGCTTTACTTTAATCTTATGGCCTCTTTAACATTTAAGTAGATGATTGTGTCTTTAAAATTATAAATTTTGATCACATTATACACCTTTCTTTATTGACAACTATAGTTTATAGAGTATTTGATTTTTCATATAAAAAATTATAATTTAATGTCTGGTTAAAACAATTTTTGAAATAACAGTTTTTATACTTTTCAGCCATATAATGGACATTTAACTTTTCTAACTTTGTAAGTTGAAATATAAAATAATTTTATAAATTTAAGTATCTAATAAGTTTAATTTTATAAAATGAAGTTTAAATGAGACAAAGTAAAAGTTGAGAATACCTTAGAGTTAAATTAACAAAGTTCTAGGAAAAATTTATGGACTCCCTAATAGAAAAAGAAGGAAGAAGTTATCTATTCTTGGTGCATAGGACTAGGAATAGAAGTGAGGCAAGTACTCTTAAATTTTGAACTATCTGTACCTAAATCCATTTAGAATTTCACTATCTATGCTCATCCCGAATATGTTCAAATACCCATTTAAATACTTATATCTGAATTCATTTAAAAATTTACTGTATGTACCCGTCTCAAACCCGTTTAAAATACTCTTTAGATGGGTAGGTTATTCGCGAATTCTAAAATATCTAAATCGGATTTTATTTAAAATATATCTTTTATTAATAAATATGTAGGATACCCGATGGTCTCGTAACCAAATTCCATTTAATATAGAGATAATGGGTAGTAGGTAACTAAAGATTTATATTTATATTCTACTCATATCTGATAGACATAATAATTCCATTATGTATACTCATCTCAAACTCATTTATAATTATTTATACATTTATTAAATGGATTGAAGCTAACCGGCTAACCTAAAATATTTGTCTCGCTTCTATCTTCTATCCCTACGTGAAACCATCTCTTTACCAAACCAATCAAATAATGATAATTGGGTGTGCAATAATATTATATTTTTCACTAGAAAGAAAGGGAAAAAAATAGGAAAAAAAGTAATACATTTTTAAATGGTAAATAATTAGTAGCTTGATTTATGGGTGAATATATTGGCATGGGCAAGTATTATCCAAAAAATAAATAAAAATAATATGACATGACTTATTTATTCCTATTTTATACATTAATACTAAAAAATCAACCGAACAAAAATATTTTTAATAAACGAGAGTGTAAATTTCACTTAGAAAAGGATACAAATTTTTTTACCACAAATAATTAGGTTTAGAGGCAAGTCTTATTTCAAAAAGATTAGGTGAAAGCATATATAGCTCTTTATTTTTTATGAAAAATCTTGTCATATCTAAATTTTTATTTTGATTTATTGAACACTTAAACTTACAAAATTGTATATATTAAATATTTAAATTTGGAAAATCATTATATTGGATGCTTTAAATCAACCCCCCGCGCGCGCGCGCGCACACACACACACACACACACATATATATATATATATATAAGCTGAAACAAAGAAAAAGTTTCAAGGCTCATTGAGTTTTCATGCCCTTGAGTTGTTCTAGCAAATTTAAGCATATATATTGACTTTGTACCTTCATTTTTTGTAAATAAATCAACTCGAAAAGTTGCTAAATGTACCTTCTGTTCTCAGGCTCGTTGAGTTTCGAGCCGAGCTTCGAGCTTGGCAGGTTCGAGTTCGGCTCATTTACACCTCTAGCTTTCAATATTTGAAAATATCAAGATAGTGATAGACAAAATACAGAAATCCATTTAATGAGGCTATGTTTTTAATGTAATTATTTTATCCCTCTCTCTCCACTTTAATTAAAAATGCATGAAAAATCAATTTATGAATGCAATTTTAGTTCTCTGCATCATTCTTATAATTCTCTTCAAATGACAGCTCACAACTTAGAAGACATTTATGATATCCCGACCCGACAAAGCGATCCTAAAAGGGCGGGTAAAGCAAAGCTTTTAGCTAGCTTCTAGAATGGCAGGTTAGCTATGGGTAATGGAATGCAAGACACAGGAATGAATCGAATTATATACCAAAAAGAGAGAAACTAATCATCAGAAGCGCCTTTTGGTGGAATGGCTTGAAGAGTTGGAAGAATTCCAGAGTAAAGTGTGCTTGCTTAACAAAAATCATAAAATGGTAACCTCCTAGAAAGTTTTCTATTTCACCTGCAAGACAAAATCGTGCAGATCTTTCCAATCTAGTATAGGATGGAATTGGTTTCATCTAAAGTAGACAATTTCTCGGGTGGTTGGAGTCGGGCGTGACAATTGGTATCAGAGCCGGACTCCCTCCAGTAGAAGTATAGTTCGAGGACGAACCACGCGGAAGCTGATGAGCCTGTAACATCCAGACTCGGCAAAGCGATCCTAAGAGGGTGGATAGAGCAAAGCTCCCGGCTAGTTTCTAGGATGGCATGCCAACTATGAGTAGTGGAATGCGGGACACATAAATGAATCGAATTATATACTAAAAAGAAGGAAACTAATCATCAGAGGTACCTTTTGGTGGTATGGCTTGGAGAGTTGAAAGAACTCCAAGGTTAAGCGTGCTCGCTTAACGAAAATCTTAGGATGGGTGATCTCCTAGGAAGTTTCCTATTTCACCTGCGGGACAAAACCGTGCGGATCTTATCAATCCAATATGGGATGTAATTGCCTTAATCTAAAGCGGACAATTCCTTTAGTGGTTGGAGTCGGACGTGACAACATTGCCCATTCCAAACCGTAAATCAATGATTTTTAGTTTTAACTCACATTCAGAAATTGAAAATCATACCTCTCCAAACTCATACCTACCCAAAATTCGCCTCCCCAACTTGAATACACCAGTCCGTTGAGTGCTCATTTTGTTGTAGAATGTATTTTAGTTTAGTTTGGAATGCTTTAAATACCCACGTTTTGTTATATTAAAATTGTATTTTTGTGTGTTTATTTTCCGTTTATCAATTGTAATAACAATGTTTCTCCGTTATTTTTTGTTTTTAAAATTATCACATTTTGCAGGAAATATTTTTATATTCTCTTCGGTTTTTCAAACAATGAGGCCTAAAAAAGAAAATAATAAATATATGCGTGTAAAAAAAGATTAAGTTTGATTGTGTATGTATTGAACTTAACTACAAACATGTATAACGAGTGCTCATTCAAAAAGTTGGTGCACACCTTTTACTCATCTATGTAAATCCAGAAAATACAAAATCCGTGCAACTTAATATAAAGTGCATATACACTAAAGAAGATTGAAATAAATACATAATAAACGTCCGTAGATGCAATGTATGTTCTCTACAAGATTTGCTTTAATCATGTCTTATCTCATATTTTTGAATCTTCAACTGTTAGTTTTGAGTTTTGGTTATTAATTGACTTTATTGGAATAAGAGAGCTTGACATAATTGACTTTAAATGAATAATGGTGTAATAAATGCAATGTTGAGGGTAAATTTGGAAAAAATTTTCTTTCCTCAAATCCCGTGCAAATCAACTTTTGTCTAAATAAATGAAACGGAAGAAATAATTTTTTAAATCCAATTTAATCTAATCATCTAACCAAATCCAACTGAAACTTGAAAATCTAGCTATATGTATTTTAATTGTACACGTTGTTATATTTAACTCTCTACCATCATAATTCACAAGTTCATTATTTGTCATCTATCCTATTAATTTGGAATAGCTCTTCCTTCTCATACATAATCAACGAATTGTTTGCCCATAGCCCATACCTAAATTGCCAAAGATTCAACTCATATATACTCGTAGATGTGCTGGAAATTTTCTGGGATATTGGTCCATATATTAAACTAATAGTTATTCTACACTTCACACATGTTTTTTAAATAAATATTATTATGAATTATGTTATCATTTTCAAAAATTTTTTGATTTGTGAA